TGAGCAAGAGAATGACCTTCCATGGAGGGCAATGTATGGTAATGATCTTCCAGAAAAGGAGTGTCTCCTCCCACAACGTATTAATGAATATGTAAATCATGATTCACGGCAACTGCAGGCCTTTGATCTCGAATTTTAGTGGACGCATTATACTAATTGTTTGCACAGACACTCTTCGATATGTTCCCTCCCAAGCCGCGCTGGGATTTTTCTATTTTCCTATTTGTTTCGAAATTACGTTCTAATTTCTGAATACCGGAAAGAACCAGATCGCATTGTCTTTTCAAGATAGCTAAATTATTATTTATTCTCCAACTATTATGTCGATATATATCTCAATTAACGCGGAATGGTGGTGAGCGTCGTCTGAAAAACTGTTTTGTTGCCAATGTTCCACTAAATTTGTTTATTCATTGGTTCAATTATTTTTTACCGAAAATGGCTTTCTGTGTTTACACAGAGATCACGTGACTATACACGTCCATACACACACTATCTTGTTGATTTCATATCCAGTGTGAAATAAGCTTTCCATCAATATATAGCTTTGTGTGGTTCAGTAAATATTTTATATGAAAATATCAGTTTAGGAAATCAATACCAAAAACGTGTACAGCATCCTTAAGAGGGCCATTGACTTGTTACCAGACCATCAAGTAAAACAGCTTGATTTGGGCATATGCACGAGTCCCGTGTACATGTAAGTATTTTCTGACTGGGCTCTAACTCTATACCGTTTAGTCCAGGCATTCGCAAAGGTGTTATATGTGTGGCAGCGCCCTCTGCGGATATACCGTAGTACAGATAAGCTGATGCGCCCAATCTTGTTCTAGATTACGTCATCAACTTAAAAGGTAGCGAGAAGGGAAATTTTCACTTTTTTCTTGATTTTTCAAAAATAGATAAAACGGTTACTTTAGACCTTGATACATCACCCCAGGTTTACAAAAGATCGAAATTGCGAAATAACGTTGCTCAAATTAGTGTTTTAAAACACTAGCAGAAAAGACTACAACTGCCGTTTCATGGATATTTGCATAGTGTTTATCTTTGGAAGGAATTAAATGATAACATCTTATCTGTATACTCTGTTGTTGACGATTCTGATAAAACGGGTGATAAGCTTCCAGTTGCAAACAATGCGTGTTTATCTAACGTCCATTGTCAGCATTATTGTCAGTCGAGACTTCGTCGGAGAAACATGGTCGCACAGTACTCATTTCGCCCAACCTTCCGCTTTTACATCGACCGCTTATCGCTTAATTTCCGACCACGCGGTCTTGTCCAACCGGAAACCGACCGCATTTTAACCGCGTTTTTTTTTTCGCTCGCTCGCTCATTGAAAACATTGACCGCTCGCCCAAACACTGAAAACTGGCACATGGGTGGTCGAAATGGTGGTTTTGATAGTAAAGTGTGAACATACAACTAGTATTAACTATTATTACATTCTGAACGACACATTAAAATCTAATAGC